AGCCCATCCCTTTGCCTCCGACGTCGGCTGGTTGCCACGAAGCTTAAATCAAGGCCGGTGATCTATCCCCGTTTAAGCAAATCTCCATTCAATCGGCTTCAAACCATGATTTTATCCATCGAGATCGGATCTCCCTGAACTGACTGATTGGCGACAGTGAATCAGTACCGACCTTGCACAGCCTTGCACACATTCAAGGTTACTATGCCGGAACCCGCAATGAAAACCGTCACCCGCAATGAAATTTGTACCTAGCGTCTGTAGTTTTCATTTCTCTACCAAGCCGCGCAATACGGTCATAGAGTAGTTTCATTAGATGGCCCATGTTCAATGTTGTAGGTATATACCAAGGGACAGGGGAGGGACAGTCGAATTTCATTGCGGGTGACGGTTTTCATTGCGGGTTCCGGCATAGTAACTGTGAAAACTCCACGCGCCATCACTTGACCAACATATCTCGGAGTGACAAGGCCATGGCCTAGTAAGTGTTTTTATTCGTATTCGGGAGTTGAACTAGGACTTGACGCGGGCGCTGACCTGATTGAGGAGTATTCTTCATTAGCAATGTACCCTATATACTTTCATCCATGTGACAAGGACTCCTAGTCATTATTCATATCCGCTTGAAGGCTCCAGTAAGTGTTCCTCTGGATGGTACAGATCTGGAACTGGAGATCAACACTTAGGCGATGCCGACCTCGGGATAAAATATCCCAGGTGCATGAGGTGTTCTATTTAACACCATCAAGTGTATGGTCTTTGAGCCGTGTGACAAGGAACTCCTTGTCATCGTTCACGTCCACATGAAGGCCCCAGAGGGTGCTCCTAAGGATACTTATGCAACACGGACTTTGGGGGAGTTTGCCCCAGGTGCATGAGGTGTTCTATTTAGCAACATCAAGCATTTGTTCTTTCAGCCGTGTGACAAGGAGCTCCTTGTCATCGTTCACGTCCACATGAAGACTCATGTGGGTGTTCCTAAGGATACTTACGCGACGCCGACTTTGGGGGAGTTTGCCCCAGGTGCATGAGGTGTTCTATTTAGCAACATCAAGCATTTGTTCTTTCAGCCGTGTGACAAGGAACTCCTTGTCATCGTTCACGTCCACATGAAGACTCATATGGGTGTTCCTAAGGATACCTATGCGACGCCGATGTTGTCCCTGGTTGTCCCAGGTGCCGTTTAGCAACATCAAACATCTGTTCTTTTAGTCGTATGATAGGGAACCTCTTGTCCACAGTCACATCCAAATCAGGATGCAAGTGCACGTTGAAAGGAATCACGGTCACGTGCCCTGTGGGATGAATCAACAGAGTCACCGCAGTGCCTGAATCACAAAAGGGAAACCATTGCACGGCCGTTCGGTAACTCCAACCTCGCCCATCACTTGAGAAGCACATCACTCCCCACGTCCCGCCATAATGTCCGACAACGAAGACGACTTCTTCAGTAATCTTGCAAAAAAGAATGCGAATAACGACTCTTCCACTCCGGATGCAGCCGAAGCCGACGGCTTCACGAAGGAGGAACAGGAAATTTTACAGACTGCGCTGGCCGAATGGAAGGTGAAAGCTGGCAGCGATGGCGCGTCCGCTTTGGCAGGACTCTCTGCCCGAGCTGCAAAGGATATTGCAAGCCTTAGACAGGTGGACTCTTCAGCCGAACTGGAGCAGGTGCGTAGTTTTTACACCCGCCTATATTTTTCTTACTTGGTAAATACTCATGGCTGGCAAGGCTGTTAGCTTGTGGCTCACAAATGAGACAACGGTTGCCAAGATTTCGTGGAAACCCAACTGGCAGCCAGGGAGGAAGTGGAACACTTTCGACATTGCAGAGCTTCGCCAACAGCCCAACTACCTCGCCAAGATGGACACCTTGTGGGAGGAACAGCTGGCGGCAATCAAGGAGGCAATGCCGACTGTGAACCCTGAAGACTATCCTCAGTTCCCTTCCAGGGGTAGTTCGCACTGGTTGTCCCTGTACAGCCGTGCTCGGAGCTTGGTATACCTTGCCTTAGACCAGGCCACAGTAGATGAATACCAGAAGATTGCCGATAGTGCCAACACAACTGGTGCACCACCGGATATTCAAGACTTGTGAGTACGCAGCTCTTGAACGAAGCAGCGGCTGACGCCGACATGGCACAGGACTTTTGATCGCCGGTTCCAGCCAGCTCTGAAGAATATTGCCGACTACCTGTGGAAAGGTTGGCACGTCATTCTCAAGATCGAGTATGCGAAGTACAAGGCTGATGGCGGCGTGCGATTTGGATGGTATGCTCCCGTGTCATTGGTAGATATGTACTGAACATGGATAACAGCTGGGATGGGACCCGAATTCATCGTATGCCTGGGACGAAGGCGTTTACCTCTGTGGAAGGGATGCAACCAGGCACCTGCGCCTGCTTCAAGGGATGGGTTGATTATGGACACGCTGGTATAGGTGGGAGTGCATCGTGACGCCGCCATTGAGAAAACTAACACCATACTCTGACGCCGCCACCAGGTCAAGGCACAAAGGAAGCCATAGCCAAAGCATCGGCACCAAAGCGGACACAAGTCCATTCGGACGCCGACGGCTACCCCAAGGTTCCAGCAACCTACCGGAACACAAAGGACCTCCAGCACATATGCCGACAATACGTTACCATGGCTCTTGCTCATGCTTCCCACCGCACAAAGGTACAGGTACCTTGGACCACAATTGCTGAGAAGCCTTCCAAGTACATTGAAGGCGACGCATTCCCGCTATTCTGCTATGATGCCGATGAGGGTAACGTTCCCCTCCACCTTGTCAATCCTGACGACATGCACATCGGCCCTCTTAAGACCCTTATTGATCATTGGCGCACTCAAGAAAAGAAAGGCATGCGGCCTGTTCGCTTCACGAAGGCTTTCCTGGATGAACTCCCAGCTGGAAGGTATAGGGCTAGGCGACGATATGGTAAATCATACGCCGACGCCGACATAGCACGCACACACATTCCCCAGAAGAAACCAACATTGTCGGCGTCATCAGGGGGACGACACAACGCCCCAAAACCAAAGCAAGCCCATTTGCCTCGTCATTTAAAGCGTGGCCGACCCACTGCCACACGCACTGACGATGTTGACGAGGATGGCTCCTCTAGCTCCTCCGAAGACGAGAACATGGATATTTCTCTTGTTTCTCGGCGCCCTAAGAAGAAGGTGAGGCCAGTAATCCACTCAGACGAGTCGGGCAATGAAGGGACTGCTGGTGTGTCTGGTAAGAAAGCCATTTTGCTCCTGAGCCAAGGACTGACGGCGGCAACATTGAATGATAAGTAGGCGATCCCAGCAACGTCGCACAGGAGGATGAAGGAGAGGGTGAGGATGAGGATGAGGATGAGGATGAGGATGAGGATGAGGATGAGGATGAGGATGAGGATGAGGATGAGGATGAGGATGAGGATGAGGATGAGGATGAGGATGAGGATGAGGATGAGGATGAGGATGAGGATGAGGAAGAGGAGGAAGACGACGACAACGACGACAAGCAGGACGAGGAAGAGGAAGTCGCTGACCAGGATGACAAGGATCAACTTGACGCCGACCAGGATGACTCAGAGATGGATGAGGTGGAAGGCCAGGTGGTTGTCGGCATGGACGAAGCTGAGACGGAGGAGCAGGAGGAAGAGCAGGAAGAGCAGCAGGAGCAGGAGCAAGGACAAGGTGACGCCGCCGACGCACAGCAACTTTCAGCAGGCAAGTCGCTCTTATACTCCTCTCTTTCACAGGTTTGTCCTCAACTCATTGCTCCTACATTGAAGACGCCGCTGCGATCGGCACCACCGTGTCAAAGCCCACGGGCGGCATGTGGTCCAGCAATGCTCCTGCCTTTGCTGCCGTGCTGAGCTCGATGTCGGCAGGCGTCCATGGAGCTGCAACCACAGGTGCACCAAAGGGAACTCAAGTGTCCATGGACCATCAAACAGTGTCTGCAAAGACAACAATCAAGGATGACCAAGGTCCCAGGATGGCTAAGAGTGCTGTAGCCTTGGCATCAGAGCCTAGAGGCCTCCGCAGCAGCAGGAAGGTGCCAATACGTGGTCAGACGTTGAAGGCGGCAACAGACCCCATAGTGCCATCCAACGTCGGCGTCAAGACCAGGGCCCAACTCAAGGACATGTCCAATACGATGGTCACAAGAAGCCGCGGCGTCAATAAGGTACCACTCCCCTTGATTACTTATCTCACTCACTGACAAGGCCATGTGACAGAGGAAATCGGACAAGGTGAAGGAGGCTGTGCCCTCGAAGAGGAGAAAGACACGCCGATAGTTAATAACACCTCCCATTCCCATGACAGGCTAATAGAACCCAGACCTCGTTATTTCTGTTGTATATACTTCTTTCCTCCTGCTCCTTTGCTCCTCTCTTTGCGTCTACCCTCTACCTGATCGTATTATGGGCTCTACACAAGCAGGATCATGTTCATTCTTTTGTATATCCAAGTCAATCGAGTACTACACAAGCAGGATCATAGTTAATTAGACCGAGAAATGACATGAAGTGACAAGAGCTGTGCTATCTGGGAGAGAACCATGGTGTCTCGCCTGTCGGCTTCCAACTCAGCAGCAACCGTCGGGAACACTCGGTCCAGGTGACCCCTTGCCATCTCCAAATTCGTGCGGATGAGGTGGGCTGTCTCCTGAACCCTGTTCATCGGCGCCGCGATGTCGCGGGGGAATGACTTGCGTATGATGAGTTCAAACAAATCGGTCATGAGAGCGTCTGCCACTGAGCCAGGCGGAGACTGAAGGAGCTCGCCCATGACGCCGTTCCGGAACGAACGGCGGAACTCATCTCTCACCTGTTCCTCGGTATACTGGTCGTCGGGCGGGTTACTCGGGTCGGCGTCCATGTTTGAGTCCGGGGCATCTGTGGAGGACGACCCGTCATCTACAATTGTATTAGTCATCATGGCGCATAGAAAAGTATGGCGCGCACCATCGTCGTGACTTTCGTCTGCGCCGCCCGCCGATTGCCTGTACGCGTCGGCGTGCTGTGATAAACCTTTGAGCGCAAAGGTTGAAGAAGGCCTCATGAGTAAGTGGGTGCGGTGATACTCGGCGGCGTACCGTGCTGGGTTTGACCGGCGGGCGGCCCACCCGGACTACTCGATCTTGCTCCGGAAGGGCCGGGGCCCTGGAGGGCGGCGAAGGGTGAGGGACCAGTCGGTGCGAACGGGTTGGCGTCTTGCAATGCTGCCCAGGGCGACGGTGATGTGGATTGAGGAGCGGCGGCGCCAGGACCTTGGAGGGCAGCGAACGAGGACACAAAGGTCCCAAATGGAGCGGCGTGAGTCGACGGCTGCCCAGCAGCAGCAGTCCCGGAAGGTGTGGCTTGCAGGGAGGAGAACATGCCGCCCCCGAAGGGAGACGGGCGAGTAGAGCTGCTGCCTGTGGACGCGTCGGGATAGGTATAGATCTAGCTAAGATAATAGACTCACCTTGCATCAAGGCGCTATCGGCACGGCTGGCGGCGTACTTCTGTGCTTCACTATCAAGATCTAAGGACTGTTAACCGTTGAAATGGGGGCTGAAGACAGCGACTCACCAAACGTGTCGCTGTCTCCCGTGCGTGGGATGCCAATTTGACCCTTTCGGGCAGCTGTAATATTACAGTACACGGTATCCCCGGGATGAGGTGACCAAGGATCTAGTCAGCGTGGGCAGCGGCACAGATTCATGACGGTCGTACTCACTCTGGTTGTCTTTGGCGGACATTGTGGGCAGAAAATAGGAAGCTCGCGAGAAAAGACAGGGCCATAGGGTTCTTTTCGGGTATACAAACATGTGCAAACTAAGGACAATGACACCGTAATGAGCGGCGCCCAAACAAATACAAACAAAAAACTTCATGTGCCTTTGTATTCTAACCGCCGAACCCCCTTTCCCCACCGGCCACATTTCTCGAACCCACCATGCCCGTGTTCCCTTCCCCCAGCTGTCTCCCTGGCATCGTTATTGACACCGACCAGCCCCACACCATTCAGACCTTTGTCGACATCCTGGACCACCGATGGCAGCAGATGTTGATGTTTTCGAGGATGGGCGGCATCAACAAGGTCGTGTTCGATCAGGAGTGGCTCAAGGAGCAGGTGCGTGCCACTCAGGTGTTTGGCTGCCATCATGCTCATGCCGCTCAGAATGAACTTGGGCCTATTATTCAGGCAATCTCTCATCCCAACCCCTACCCCAATATCCATTGGAGACCCTTTGTGGCTAGTATCTTGCTACAGCGCGGCGACATCTTTGCCTCCCACTTCGTCGCGGATCCCACGCAGATAAACTTCGGTCACCTCACGAAGGCACCACCGGTCCAAAATATCGGCGTGGACTGGTGGAAGAACGTCCCATTCTCAGCCGCAGTAGGTTCTCTTTCCCAAATCCACACCAGGTCGACGACTGAGTCCTTATACAGCAAGACGTCGCGATGGGCAGCGCCGAAACAGTAAGTGCTTCTCCCATTCATAGCCAGGCCATGCTAATACCTGGTTGGTGACAGGATGCTCCCTCGGCTCAGCCCGTCAAGCCCACTGCCCCACCCACATCGGCGTCAACGAGCGGACAGTCCAAGGCCGCCAAGAAGCCTGCCGACATTGTTATCGATGACGACGTCCCTGCCAAGCCATCAAGGCAGAAGAAGGCTACACCCAGGGATTCCGACGCCGACGCCGACGTTGACGCCGACGGTCCCAGCGCAAAGAAGAAGGCCAAGCAATCTGGGACGCCAAAGGCGGCGGCGGAGAAGTCAAAGGAGACGACAAAGGGGAAGGAAACTGCGAAGAGCAAGGCAGCGGGGAAGACAGCAGCGGGGAAGAAGGGGAAGGCGTCCCAGGCCGCCGCCGAGGCAGAGGAGGAGGCAGAAGCTGAGGAAGAGGAGGAAGAGGAGGATGACGCCGCCGCCGCGCCCAAGGCCAAGAAGGCCGCCAAAACGAAGGCACCAAAGAAGGGCACCAAGGTAAGATCAGTTTGGCTAGGATACCAGAGGCATGTTGACCTACTCCAGGGCACCAACCAGCCTGTCAACGCGGGTAGCACGGCCAAGCCAGCTGCTCTCCCTGTTACGGGCCAGAGCACTTGGAAGGCGCCGTCTGCTGATGCGGGTGGCGCATCTGGGGGCGAAGGCACCAGTGTGAGTGGTTTTCAGTCATGCCGCGGGGCATGATACTGACGCCGCTTTCGTCAGGTTCCTCCCGAGGTTAACCTTGGTGCGTACGCCAAGCCATTTCCCCGGGGCACGCCGGTTCTGCCCCACATGCTTGTTGCTAGTCGCTCACTCTCCCCCACAGACTTGCTGTTCGCCGACGTCGACGTGCCCGCTAACGTCAGCGACATGCGCCCTTATCTTGAGCGGCAGAAGCAGTTTGCTAAGGAGATCGTCAAGCATTCCTTCTCGTCGCATACTCGCTACGAGGGCCGCTTGGAGGCCCAGGACCATCGGCTAGAGGCCCATATCAAGGCGGTCAATGGCCGCATTGATGACTTCATGCAGCGAATGGAGGTGCAAGTCAATACCCTCGTGAAGGTGGAGAAGAGCAACCAGGCGCTCCTGAAGAAGATCTTGAAGCAAGAGGGCAAGTCGGCGTCCGGCTTGCCTTCGGCGTCTACTGCGCCTAAAGGCCTTCTCGCTGAGAACAAGGACGAGAACCAGTATCGTCTGGATACTGTTAGGTTGGAGGAGGGCGGCGGGAAGGTGTGGTCGTTGACGCCGCCAAAGACGGCAGGCTCGGCGGGTGAGCTGCCTGCAGAAAGCCCCCCGCGCCAGTCCCCTTCATTCTTTCAAATGGATGAAGGCGCCGACAAAGATGAGGACGCCGCCACCGAGCGCATCGCTCCCAGCTCGCCTGCCAACAATGAGGACGAGGAGGAAGAATAGGGGGCATGTTCTTTTTACGACATCTATATTTGCCTTTGTATATATAACGAAGTCCATTATCATGCCCTTGTATATATCTGCATATCATCCATGTGAACTTGTGTGTTTATTCCATGTCCCTAGCCTTGTTCCCTTTTATATGAACCAGATGTACACATTTTGACGCCGACGTTGCGCCAATACTAAATCTGTACTGTACAACTGGTACTGGTGTTTCAATACCGCTATATTTCCTCAAGTGGGCGAGAATTCGTCCTTCAGACATAATGACCTGTCGACATGAATGCATCACCACGTCAGTGATACTAGCACCTCAGCAATTCCAAGGTTTGGTTTATACATCTGCCATCCTCCCTGGAGACGATGATTCTCAGCGTCGACGCCGACGCCGACATAGATCACGCCGCATCTACAGGATGGGCCAGCCCTACATAGTCTGTAGACGGACAAAAGAGTAAAGATAGCAGACAAAGCTGAGATCCATATCTTATCCGCAAGACTCACATGTTGCAGGGGACGCCAACCGAGGAGGTCGGTAGCACGGACGGCCGTTGGCGCCGACGAGGTCGGGCTGACGGACATCCGCTGAGGATGGGGAAGGTCGCGTCCGCGGATGACATGTGTGTAAGTAAAGTTTACTACAACAATATTAGTGAAGGTTTATTAGCAGTCCAATCCCGGATGGTGTGTCGGCGTCTGAGGCGGTGGGGTTGACACTACTATCCCAGCTATTGTTATATTAGTCGGTTGCGCAGTGCAGGAGGGCAATGAGCGGCGTCCCATGGGTGGCGGCGTGATGGAAGGGGTCGAGTCAGCGGACCAGCTCAGTCAATTGCAGCTCCATACAAATATCAATGGCTGCATGCTGGAATATGGAAATGTTCGGGTCAGTCATTGATAAGTAGAATTGACTATAATATTATTAGTAAAGAGGTGTTGACCGCAGCCGTCCACAAACTGTCGGCGTCATTCCGTACATCTATGATCAATACCACTGCTCGCATTTGCATATAATTCTTGCATCTGTGGATGGTCCTGGTGCAATGCGGCGTCATAACACGAGCGGCATGAACAAAAAGGTCGGGTCCGTTGACAAAGCCAATGCGATTCTAATGCCCGCATTGACAGTCGGCGTAGAGATTGGCGGTGTCGCGTCGGCGGACTGGATCATCGCATTGTTGCTGCATATAAGTCGCAGTGTCGGCGTGCTGCACTGCGCAGATGTCCGGGTCGGCGGACAGACTTGGGGAAACCATCGCTCACGTTAATATATCACTGTTCCTCTATGATGGTCCTGCAAGCTTGCGGCGTGATGACATGGGGGTGTGAACAAGGTGGTCGGGTCCGTGGACGTGGACAACGTGTGGGATCGTATATCGAGCATACCGTCGTCGTCCACCGCTGACACTGATGGTCGGCGTCGAGCTAGCTGATCACGATCATGTCAGCGGACCTAATGGGTGCAACTCACCTGCAAATAACTTCGCCATACATGTGGTACCAGCTGCGTGGTGTGAGAAGATAAAAGTCGGCGTCACTTCGTTGACATTATGTCTGAGAAGGCCGTGTCCACCGACGAAATGCACTCTGCAGCCAATAATGCTGCTACCAAGATAGCTCATCAACTAAACCGATCCCCATCAACATGCCGTAGGATGCATGTCGGCGTACTGTAATTCCACAACCGGCTGGGACGGATGGTATCTGTGACATTTGTACAAAGGTATCAATGTCAGATAGCAATGGAATGTCGGCGTCGTATCAGCACGACAGGGTCCCGTCAGTGGATGTGTGAAGATACTTTCATGTACCCGGGGCTGTGAGACGGCATGGTCAGCAACAGGAATCTCGATTGTGCATGCGCATACAACTGTAGTAGCTTGGGAGTAGATTGGCATACGCTGTGGTGCAGTAGGGAAACGTGGTCGTGTTATACATGGTACGTGAGGAGAGAAAAAGGTGACCCAGAGATAGGTATCCGGCAAAGGAAGAAAATGTGGAGCTGTACTTTCATAATGCAAGATGATGATTCTGGTGTTATATGGCCTTGGGTATCCGCATTCCTAGGTGTATATACTAGCTAGAGTTCACACATGAATGACAGATGTATGCTCGCATTCAGAGAAAGCAAATCAATGCAAGTGGACCCCATCTCCATCTGAATATTATGGCGCAGATGCTGACCAAGCATTTTTTACCAAAGGTCCACCTCGGGTCCACCGCCCCCGAATAAAAGCCAACTCACACGTACACGTGCACGCCAGTCGAAGTTGTAGATACTATAACTGTGAGAATCACATAGTAGCCCGAAGCCTCCATGCATAACCCACGTCCCATCTACGGGCAATCATCGTAGCCGAGGTACTGGCCGGAAGAATATGGAATGTGTGATCTATCTCGTTTGTATTGATAATAGCTGTGTCTATCTCGGGGATCAGGTTATTTCCCAGCCCGATGGTCGTGAGTTCCCCAGTATCCAAATATCAGCCGGTCGCTCTATCAACCCCCTTCGTTGCTGCGACGTCGCACGTAGTGCTCCGCTGGGCTCATCTCGCCTGCGTCTATCGACGTGTAGCTCGAAAAACACGGTAGTGGAATAATTCATCTTGGCATGAGACGAGTCAACGCAGTGGCTTACTGTAGACAACTTATGTCTCAACCATCATCGGGGTAGACTGCCTTCCATGATTTATTGCAATGTCATTGGAAAACCGTGTCTGATAATCACTGTTTTAAGCTACTTCATAGCCGCTATATAAGCCTTGAAAACAACCCCATAGTCCACCCTGCAAGGTCTTATATCTCGTCATGACAGAGATCTCTTTGAAAGAACTGGAGCACGCTTTACGAAGCATTCAAGTATCCAATGTAGGTTTCATGCCATGTATCGCCTGCAGGGTCATAATTGAACGCCCTTTATATTCAGTACGTACTAGGTAGGCGTATTAGTTACCGCTCCATACTGCGAGCACTGCATTGTGCATTCTCCAAGGACAGTTTCAGGCGCATGTTTCTGGGTATGTATGCCGATATCAATCCTACTCCATTTCTTGATGTGATTATAGCTTTATTATTATTCCCTCAATCTTCATGAAGAGGTGAGAACCGCGCAAGAATGTGGTTGTGCTAATATACATCTGTGATGGATGACATCGTCTTTGTTTAGGTCCTGTTCCTTAGTCAAGCACCAAGGAGCAAGCTGAAACTCTTATACATTACCACCTTTGGTTCAACGCTGCTCTGGATTGTTGTTGGTTTTAGTAAGTCATATATCATGATGTAAACATTATAGGGTTTATGAAAATTGTGCAGTGTATCTAAGAAATCGCTTGGTTCAGGTGATGACCACCGTGACCCAAAGTCATGAGACTTCTCTGAATTTGAGCCATTATCTAGAGCTGTGATGCGCTTGGAACACTTTTCACAGGTAATTTCTCGACCTAAAATGTGATCTGTTTTCCCATCCTTAAAAGTCACCGATTTCCTCTTACCCCAGCCAGTTGCGTACTGCTGGCTATCTGCACGGAAAGTGAGTAACCTTACAGACTTCATGTTTCCCTGTTTCATGGAATGAGGACCGTAGCTTTCTTCATCATCCGAACCTACGCCTTGTGTGAGAGGAGTAAGAAAGTGTTGATCTCCTTGCTGGCAACCTTGATTGTAAGTTGCTGCAGCTCTGCCTAATTTTTGACGTGCGTACAACCTCTAGCCTCCCTGCAGAGCATCGTGATTGCATTAATTTTGTTATTCTGTATATCATCTCCGTCGTTCACTCCTCAAAATGCTTTGGGATGTTATACAGAAAAGGAGAGTTATCTTGTTGCCGTTGCTTATTCGTTGTTGCTTGCTCTAGAAATAGGTATAACTTCTCTATGCATCTGTTGGCTGTTCTACTCAAGCCATTGGACTCCTGGAAGAACTTGTAGTTTTCACAGCCACCAGTGCCATATGGAAGCATCGACAGACGAAAGGCCTCCTGGCACTCACTCTAATCCAGCATAACTTCTTCTATTTTGGGTGCGTTTTGGGTGGGTGTCCTTCCCTTATCTTAGGGGCTCACAAATAACCTCCATTCTGTTAGTTTCATCGATCACTAACCTGGTAACGATAGTTTTTCTCAAGGTATGTTCGGTCCTTTCATTCCCCGGATAAACAATCTTATGAACGCATCTTAGTATGGATACAGTGGAATATTTGTCTGGTGAGCGATCCCTAATGTCACTCATGAGGGGTCTTTAACCATCGACTTAGCTGGCAATTTGTCCTTCACTCTGTACTTGCGACTAGGATGCATAGGGAGTTGTGGATGGCCAACTCGAGGGAAACAGGCAAGACGGTGACAACAACTGGTCAAATATCCGACCTGCGCTTTCAAGCCCCGTACGTAGATTTCCTAAAGGATGAAGAACGCTCAGCGAATATATAGCCCAGCAATCATTCGCAAACTTCTACGTGACATTCACGGCATGTTGAAACTATGTTGAAAGCTGTTCTTGGTAGTGGTGAGGAGCCCCTAAGAGGATCGGCACTAGGAAGAGGCGAGGTCGAGACAGTATTCAGAGTGTTATCGTTCATTTCAACTGTGTTGCTGACTACGGATAGGATTATAACAAACGCCTTGTATGTATGAATACTATTCTATATTAAGGGTACGAGAGGCTCCGCGTCCCGGATGCGTCCGCAGCCAAGGCACCATGTTCCGTCATACAAGACGGCGATCTGCCCTGGCGCTTGGGCCTTCTGCGGCTCGTCAAAGATGATTCTCAGCCCACCTGGGCAATCTCTGCAGAAAACTGTAAGGGGCCGGGGAATTGAGGACCAAAAAGTGCAACTTACTCGTCAAGATAAGCGGTGCACCCCACATCCTGCATGACATGCCGTGTCTTGACGCGAACCTTCATACCGTGTTTCAGTGCCTCTGGTGGCTGGCCTGCCCATATCCAGGAGAAATCGTCTGTCCAGACGGACTTAGCATACAGAGCCGGATTTTCACTGCGTGAACGTGAGCAGAGCTGGACATAGGGAACGACCTGTCGGTGCTTACGTTCCATAGACAACGTTAACCGTGTTTGTAGAGACATCTTTTGACGCAACGAAGACCCTGTCCTTCAGACCAGCGATCTTCGCGCCCTGACCAATTGTGTAGTTCCACAAACCTTGGTGGGTACCGAGCACGCGTTTCGAAGGATGCTCGACGATAGATCCTGGCTGCGGCTGTAGGTATTGCGCTGAAATTAACACGTTAGTTGGCATAGTCCGAGAATGATAGGAAAATTGGGTTACCCAGAAAGTCGTTGAACCTCCGTTTCTCTCCTACGAAACAAAGCCCCATGCTCTCCTCCCGTTTAGCAGTTGGCAGTCCCCACTTCTCCGCAAGCTCACGGATCTCAACTTTTGTGAAGTCGGCGAGAGGAAAGAGTGCACGTTGGATGCTGTCGGCGGAGATGGACGAAAGGTAGTAGGTTTGATCTTTTGAGAGATCTCGTGGGCGGCGAAGTGTAGGTAGGAGAGACCCGTCAGAAGCTATGTGCCGACCTTTCGCTGCCCAATGTCCTAAATATTGCGCCTTAATCGGTGCCTCCAAATATTAAGTTGGGTGGATGTACCTGTTGCAAGCCAAGGCAGGTTGTCAGGGTCCGCGGTCTGGTGAACGCGTCGAAGCAGTGCTCCAAACTTGATCTCTCTAGTGAAGATAAGTAACGACGAAAGCATTCGTCAACATGCGCGCTTACTTGTTACACCATACGTCAGGGTTTGGAGTGAACCCACTCTTCCAGTCTGCTAGCGACGGCTCAAAGACGGAGTTCCAGTATTGACGAGACAAATCTGTCTGGATAATCATGAATGGCGAGCACTCGGCTTCCCGGGAGAGAGACTGACCATAGCGCACGGGATGTCCAGCATCTTGCAGACAAGCTGAACGTCCTCCCAGTCCTTCTCCCACTCGCAGCCTTTGTCGGTGCCAGATTCATCCCGAGTATCCCAGTTGCGCATGAAGATGGCGGAAAGATCGTAGTCCTGGCTAACGCTGTTCAGACAGGCTCGGACAGAGAGAAAGTCGGTGTACCTTCTCTGCTAGCAGCTTGGCCGTGACAGAGGAATCTACGCCTCCAGACATGGCTACTATGACTAAGACTGGCTGTCAAGAAATTTGCTCCGACAGACTTGAGACAGGACACACCTTTGTCACCCTTCTTGGGCTCTAGTCCAGCGACTTGACTGGCATAGCATCTTGAAGGAAAGCGTTCATTCGAGGCTTGATGTCGACAAGTCCGTGACGATGATGTCAAGAGCGGTCGGCAGACGCGGAAAGGGAGCATGGCCAGACGCGAGAGCGTGACGGCAATGGCGTTACATACGCGTTACTTCCAACGCGTGACCTGCCCTGTTGTCAGACGCGTCCGCAACGGTGATCGTTTATTTCTCACGCTCTCCATCCCTCATTCCATTCCGCTCGTGACCAGAATACTTCCGCTACCTTTCCCATCGCCGCCGCCGCCAACGTCGAGCAAGAATGCCCAGAGTCGAGTCCGTCGGTGGGCGCAAATCCAGTATCGGAGCTCGCAGGGGTCCCCCGAAGAAGCACGTTCCCTATCGCCACGATGACCTCATGCACGGAAAGCGCACTGGCATGGCCGTTGAAGTCGTCGAACACGATTCGGACGATTTCGAATCTTTCACAGAGGTCTTGAAGCAGGCGGAAGGGCGGTATAGGCAGATCACGAAGCCAGCAAAGCGACGCCAGTCTACTGCGCGCACACCTGTCCGCGAGGATTATGGTGAGGACGGAGAGATGTCAATGGACTTGGCAAGTGAGTGGCGTTCTTTCCTCGTCAAATGCGCATATATGCGCGTATATGCGCTATATGCTGACTGTGTGCGTGCTATAGGTGCTCCTGGCAGTCCTCAGGCATACTTCTCTAGCGTCCAGGCCAGTCGCAAGTCCTACGTCCCAAATAGCGTAACAAGAGTAGGGTCCTCCAAAGTCACCCACACCTCCGACGTCGACTTCGACCAAGTTCCCTCCCCTCACGCTCGTCCTTCGAACTTCTCTCAGCGAATGTCGCTCGCAAACGGTCCAAACGGGTCAACGATGGAATACGGCCGAGCCGGCCCCTCATCGCTTTCCAGACCATACTCCCTGGGCCGGTCGCCTCCTGCTAACGGCGATATGGATGACGACGATGACGACAACGAGCCCGCCGGATTCGACGATTACGCACCGCCGGACGACATGGCGGACGTCGACATGCACCGGTCTAGCTTCATGCAGATAGACGAAGGCGACACCATGGAGGAGGCCGAGGTGGATAGGCAGACGCGTTCTCCGAGCTTCGACAAGGGCAAGCGGAAATCTTACGTCCCCGACGATGACATGCCAATGGACAATGGGGTGGAGGATGACATAGCTGCTGGTATGGCGGAGCTGGATGCTGGACAAGATGAGGAGGACGAGCGGACGCCACCACCACCGAAGAAAGCAAAGGCAACGGAGAAGAAGCCACGGAAAAAGAGGGAGATGAAGACTTTCGAACGTAAATCATCCCTTGAGCTCGTCTCCAGTTCGTTAAGTGATGTTCGGTTTCAACAGGCTCTCCAACACCCCCAGGTGCCCGCCGCAGTCGACGAACACGATACGCGCCCCTCGAGTACTGGCGCCAGGAACGCGTAGTCTTAGGACGTGCTGACCATGGAGTCACGCTCGTGCCAGAAGTCAAGGAGATTGTTCGCGTTCCCAAAGAACCCGTGATCCCGCTAGGCAAGAATGGTCAGAAGCAACGACGTGCTGCATCGCGCGCAAAGAGCAGACCACCAGCGTCGGCGGTATACAACCTGGAAGAAGGCTGGGATGATGAGACGCCTATCAGTCACATTGTCCTTGACTATTTGACACAGGAAGAGGTGAAAAGACGTGCGTATACGTGTTCTCCAGTCGTCAAGGCGGTTGTGCTGAACGTATATAATATAGGTATTGCCTTCACGAACAAGATGCTGGATCCGCGACCAGCAGGCAACAACGACTGGTTCTTCGAGAAAGTGTTTGGAGATGCGGATTTCATGGCGGTCGGCATGGTAGTCATTCCTCCCGGCGGCAGAAAGCCGAACAAGGCCACCAAAGATAATACATACGTTCGTCCAATACTACTTAAGATCACTCTCGGCTCACCCATCTAACCTCGTTCCGTTTTCGCAGGCCTTCTGTGTTCTTCAAGGCGCCATAAAAGTTGTCATTCATGAATCGTCCATGATCCTCGCTACGGGTGGCATGTTCCTTGTCCCTCGAGGTACGCTCCCCGCTTCGTTGTGTATGCTTTGAATCGTAAACGCCTTTTCCTTAGGTAACCACTACCTTATCGAGAACATCTGTGAGCGAGAGGTGAGACTCTTCTTCACCCAGGCGCGCCGGGTTCCCCTCGAGGATTTCGACGAAGGGGAAGGAGAAGGCGCCGTCGATTCACGTCGACAGTCTCACGACTCGCGCGGGTCCACGGTGCCAAAGAAGGAGAAGGAGAAGCGATGAGTTGTACAATGCATCGTTTGTATGCCCTCAACATTTCTACGTTCGCATTACTATAGTCTAGCATCAGGATTCTACCATGCGTAAGTTACATTGTTCCTTTCTCCTTCACTACAGCATTCTATGTTCATAACAATTTACCCCTTTCATGTGTGCTTCACTCGTATGCATGTAACTTTAAGTTGAGAGACATGAAAATGTCAGGAAATGACGAAGTCGAGGATCGCGGATTCCGCGAATGGTCGAGCAACCTTTCCCAAATGCAGTTTTCCGGTCCCGTATTTTGACGTACTCGAGGTTTGGTACCTTGTTCTCGATTCAAACATGTTGATCAAATTCTGAGAAGCACTTTCGTTCGACGCTATTGCTGTAGGTCACGAGTCTATGTTCTTCAGAGTGCCCTCACGTTCGTTACTCACGAATAATCCGCAATCTTTGCTACGGGCGGCCGTAAATTTTCCTTACCCCAAGCCGAGGTATTTTCTTTCCTAAACAGCATCTCCCAAAATACCACCAAATCATCGAGGATATCTGAGAGCGATAGGTGAAGCTCTCCTTCACCAGGGCCCTCCCTCCGCTATGATTTTGACAAAGCAAGGGGAAGAAGTGGTGATGCCGACTCAAGGGCTGTATGGTTCCTGATACTTGCATTTGCGTCACTTGAGTTCAGTTTTAGGATCATGACACGCATGATTTTCATTATTCTTTCCACACACTTTACCTCTCCATATCCCTCTTGCGACTAACATACATGTAACAGCTGGACTTTTCCGATATCATGAAAACGTCTAGAAATGATTATGATTGCTTGAGTGGGTGGCATTGGCATGACGAACAGCTGAGAAACGTACGTTGCCTCGATAAACTTATCCACAACACGGCATCACAAATACCACCTGGCCTTCAGACCCTGCATCATCTCTGAATTATTCATCCACTCAAAGTAATCCACAGTCGTAACACCAAGGCTACTAGCGATGTCGTCTCCGAGCATCTTCAGTTGCTCTCCCCAATGAGCATCACTATCCTGGAGAGATTCGCTACTGGGAAATTCACAACTGGAAAACCCCAGGCGAGTGAGGCGACATTTTGAGCGAAGGACAAACTCGGCCAATTGTTCCGTCATTTTATTATTGATGGTTGTTGAAAGTTCTTCAAGAGAAGGGAGGGTAGCCAAATCCAGAAAGCGTTCGCGATCATTCCAATGCGACACAGTGCGATATATACCAACGCGCTTGAGACTGTTGCTGAAGAGAGGCCTGGATTCGTTTGAAATCAATCCATTGAAGGCAAAATCCGTGAGTAGAGGGTAGGCTGACAGCGCAGTTAGCTCCAGTAACAAGGTTATCGTGAGGTCAAGAACGAGAACGGTGAGATTAGGAGCGACAGGCAGGGTGCCCATTTTCTGTGTCTGCTGATCGTATTCTGTTCTCAACCGCAAGTGAAGGTGGGTCAAATTGTGCCAAATCCCGGATGATGTCGCGGAGTCAACGTCAAATCTGCAGTCCAAGGGCGATAGCCTTTCAAGCTGAATGAACCGTGCGAGTAGCCCCTGAACCTTGCTGTAGTCAAAGAAGATGTAGTTCGAGCGCTTGAAATCTTCGAACGCATACACATCAAGGCCTCTGCACTTTTTCTCAAATGCCAACAAATGCCCTTTTCTACACCTTTGAACAAATCTAACATGGACAGATGGAAGGCCGACGACAAAGAACGAAGGAACAGATGCCGCTCTTGTGAGCATCTCGCGCGATGTATGCAGAGCTTTCTGGTCTAAGCTCATTTCCCCGTAAATGTGCATAGTATTCCACAACCGTGGGGTGCTCAGAGCAATATGTCGCCAGCGCCTACAGATTTGGGTCGCATTGAAGGAAATCAGAAGCCCTTCGTGTAGTTTGACGTTGGGGAATGGGGTCTGTGCATCGCCAAGGTAGTGAGGACGTGCCAACATAAAAATTTCGGCTAATATCTCTGCTGGTAGACGGCCAATAGCGGAGTTTAACGTCTTCCAGGTGTTTGACAAATCCTCAATCTTTCCCTTGTGACCTTGAAGCGCCAGAATTGCGGCGTCAAAGTCATGTGTCAAGACATGTGCATCGGACAAGAAGTTCTCGATATTGGCAGATTCTTGGACTAAAGCCGAGCGGTTGTCGGTACCTAAAGATGGGACAAGCGTATGGGACTGGATAGCATGTTAGAGTCCTTCATTAGTGTCCTATCGACGGCAGCTATGATTTTCTCACATCGACACGCCGCCTAGTCGACGCAATCTGGGAGCAATTCGCATCAAACTTGGTCAGAGTAGAACGTATGCTATCGTAAGCTATGTACTAACCACTTGATTGAGGCTAATACGCACACCCATTATATCACCACCTTCCCCTGTCGATGGATCCGGAGATGTCGATGAGGGATTCTACACGTAATCGGTAAATGCTGTCAGCGGCAACATGATCGCTAGGGCGTACGTTGTTTGCGTCCAAATCAGCATTGGTTCTACACGCACGCTTTTCCATGGTATACAACACGTGAGATATTTCAGTGTATCACAACAGGATTTTTGGGGGGAAAGAGACAACGAATGGTGGAGGATGACGAAGCTGCTGTATGCAAGGGTTGCGCGACTAAGTAGTACTAACACCCAAACTTCAAAGTCCGACGCGCACTCCGCTACACGCCAGGCTATTTTGTGGCTTCCGTTGGAATTGCAAAAGTTGCTTCCCTCGTCTAAGTCCTCCACCCTTGGGACGTCGTGGCCTCAGACGATGAACTTGTCGTCAGCAAGGATACGCTGGGTACAATCCGTACATTTCAGATGTTCCAATGAAGCTGCTACTAAAAAACCAGCGAATAAACTGGCATCTCTTGGGACATCGCGGCAGCGAGCTAGAATGGATGGCAGGGTGATAGCATTTACATGAATGCTGGTTCGATACGAACCCCGAAAAAATGTTGGTTAACAAACGCGCACGCATCACTTCGTTCGTTACTACAGGATATTGACAAGATCGACAAGCCAGCATGCAGACGGGCGCGCGCCATCTAGTACGTGCCGTACTTTTCTTCAATGTGTGTCATGTAGTTCAGAGTTAGTGCTAGCACACAGCCTAGGCGTTGCTTGATCACAACCAGTCCCGAGGTTGCAGGATTATCGGCGAGAGACGTCCCCGCCGTTCTGAGCAAGTTCTGAGACTTTGCAAAATGTATGCTCATGCGTATGAGGTAGTAAAGGATAGAATACATTCATGAAGTCTATAATACTAGCACGCGGGCTTCACTGTGTAGCTATATGCCTCATCGCTGAAAACTCCACCATCAAGCGTTACGAATACCACCTAGCCTTCAACTCCTGCATCATGTTTGTATCGCTATGCCACCCAGCATACTCTACGTTCGAAACACACAAGCTACTCGCAATCTTTCCTCCAAGAGTTGTGAGCTGCTGTCTTCGAGCATCTCCGTTCCATCTATAAAAGCTGTAGTTGATAAAAGAAAGACGAGTAAGACGACATTAAGAGCGGAGGACAAGCTCGCCCAGCTGAAGCTCGCTGTACTCTTGAATGGAAGTCGAAAGCTCCTCAAGAGAAGGGAGAGTAGCCATATCTAGAAAGCGCTCCTCTCCGGTGTCTTGCACGCCGACGCGCTTGAGACCATTGTGGCAGAAGGGAAGGGGGTTCCGCGATATCAAACCAATGAAGGATAGGTCGGTGAGCTGTGGGTAGGCTGACGATGAGGCAAGGTCCAGCGTGATGTGGGAATTGAGCATGAGAGCAAGAACCGTGTGGTGGGGGCAGACGGGTAGCTTGACCGGTCCGTGTGCTTGGCTAGTCTCGGCCACCCTCAAGTGAAGGTGGGCTAGTTTGTGCCAGTGGGAAGCTGATGCCGAAAAATCGTCAAGCCTAAGCTTCAGGAGCGCCAGTCGTTCTACTCTTTTGAATCGCCCGAGAAGCTCCCGAACCTTGCTGTAATCATAGAAAAGATACCTCGTGTGCTTGCGGTCAAAGGCTGCATACACTTCGAGGCCTCTGCACTTTTGCTCGAACACCGACAGCGATCCTTTTCTGCACATTTGAATGAATACGTCGTGCGCTGACAGAAGCCCAACAGAAAGGTACGAGGGAACAGACTTCGTCATTGAGAGCATTTCAAGCGGCATGTGCAGGGCGTCCTGATCCAAGTCCGTAACTCCGTAAACGTGCATTGTGTTCCACAGCCACGGAGTACCGAGAGCGACCTGTCTCCAACGTCTGCAGACTTGAGCCGCATTGAAGGACGTCAGAAGTCCCGCGTGAGGTCTAGTGCTGGTAGATGAGAGACCTTCCACTTCGCTGACATAGCGAGGTCGTGCCAAGATGAAGTTTTCGGCCAGAATCTCGGTAGGCAAACGTCCAACAGAGGACGTAAACACCTTGCAGGCAGTTGAAAAGCTGATGACCTGTCTCTTCAGACTTCGAAGTGTCAGAATCGCGTTGTCAAAGTCGCGTGTCAAGATATGGGTGTCGGATAAGAGATCCGCGATGGCGGCGGATTCCTCGGGAGAAACGGCGTAATGATTGGTTTTAAACAGAATGAAGAGCGAGCTTGAACACGTTTAGTGTGTTATCAGAGGCAGCCAAGGACTCCTTACATCGACGTGCCGCTTAGTCGACAAAATCTGGAATTGATCGGTGGCGGACTTGATCAAGGACCACGTATGACGCTGTAAGTCCCATACTCACAGCATCGTTGAGCTTCTCCTGCGCTCCCAGTAGAGTGTCCCCCACGCTTCGGTCGCGAAATCTGTGAACGTAGTCAGCAACGCGGTGCAAGGGACGACAGTATTGCTGGGGCGTACGATGCCTACATCCGGCTTGTCATCCGAGGTTATCTTTGCAATATGTTCCAGGGAACACGATTCTTGATCCATTGCAAGAGGTATAGGGTGGAGATGTTGGGAGAAGAGAGCAGCGTTTAGTCGAGGATAAACACGCGACACAACGCGACATGTCGTGATGCGTCTCTATTTTTGACATACTCATGAAGATCCCACGCTCAGGACACTGCGGCGCACTAGTCCTCCGGGATATCGATACCATGTCACTTCAGTCACCCCCTTTCTAGACCCCTCATAGGGTTGTTTTCCCCACCCAAATTTTGACCCTGTAAGGGGTCTACCAAGCTGTAATATCCATACTTATTTGATTATTCAAGCTTTTTGGGGTGCATGTGCTTCTATATGAGTAGCATAACTGGTACTTTCTCAAAGAGTTGTGAGGGGTATCCCGCAATCGGGATTGGATATCCATACGCCCCCATACGGTTATCCAGCGGTCTGATTATCCATGGGGTGTCCGGGGTCCGTTTTGAAAATAAAATCACATTTCGGATTCCGGTTATACCGTAATAGTGCTGTTTCCTCCCCTTCCCCACTCGACATAACTGGGTCTAGTATTCTGCACTTCCCGTATTCAATAGCAGCTTTCCCCACCCCACCCTGTACAATAGTCGGCTACCTTCAAACATTGAATAGTAAATGTTATGCTGGTTTGTTTCATACAGACGACTACAGTAGGATGCAGTAAATACTTTGTTGTCATATGTACTAAGCGGATAGTTCCTATGGCGGAATACAGCAGCCAATTTGCATTCCATTAAAACACTCGTATGAAATCCAACATACAGCATACAGTACCTTCATATATCCTCACCAATATTCTGGCATACCATTTACATGGATGTCCATAACCTTCCAGTAGGCCAAATTAGATGGATGTCCATGTCTAGCTCTGGACATCCAAGTGTATATTCAAAGTCACCCTGGTATCATTTATGGATGTCCAACTCTATGGCGGATATCCATATGGGTTTTTAAGCCTTCTCCACATGTCAACCTGGATATCCAAGGCCGCGCGTGAACATCCAAATGTACTCTCAAAGCCTTCCAAGCTTACCTGGCGGGATGTCCATACCAGCCTTTGGACATCCACGCATGCCCTCAGTGTCTACCAACTAGTTCATTCGTAACCTTGGACATCCAGATGCACCTTGAAGCGCAACTCCATAACCCCCATGGATGTCCAGTCCGTGACCTGGATATCCGTGTGCACATATGGAGTGATGGCCAGCTGGCTACTCGAACTCACGGATGCCGGCGTGGATATCCATGAATCACTAAGAGCGAAGCCAACTTATAGACGCGGACACCCAGGTGCACGAGTGGATATCCACGTGCACCCTTTGAAGGGGGTGAAGTCACACTGTTGGTCTTCCAAAGCATGGTTTCGATATCAGAATCGCATTGATTTTCTGCTTGGCAGAGCCGACAGTTCAAGGTATAGGATGCAACTGGCAGCAAATCAA